CCCAGTTTAAGACTCTACAAATAAGAGACACCTTTTTTACCTTCTTTCTGCTGCAGTTATCACAAGTTACTTCCGGGTGATCTTTACAGAAGTTAGGATTAAAGTTAGTTTCCCCAAAGTAGGCCAAGAGCTGAATTCTCCGGCAGTCAACGACATTCTCGCAGTAATGAACCATGCTGTACAGGTTGTTGAAGTGCGTCTCCCTCGTGTGAGCGTTTCCATCCTTTTCCACTGAAACACAATAAATTCAATTGTATTTGTTAGATCTGCACTTCTGTCTTTTTAAATATTAGCAAACATACTTGTTTTTCAAGCAGCAAAGAATATTTTGCTTTTTCTCAGCAACTTAATACAGAATAAAGCTAGGATAGATTTTTACCCCTAAAGTTTTAACGACAGAGAAAGGGAAGGAACTTAGAATGACAAAAATCACGAGGCAGTTATGTATATAACAACTGCTTTATATATAAATGTTATTAAGCTACAAATGCAAGATTTCACTCACTCAGTATGAGCCTTCGAAGGCGGGTGACGTCGCTGTAGCTGTAGAAGAGCAGGCAGTGGGACATCTCACCATCCCGGCCAGCTCTGCCGGATTCTTGGTAATAACCTTCGATGGACTTGGGGAGCGAGGCGTGGATAACGTAGCGCACATCAGGTTTATCAATCCCCATTCCAAAGGCAATGGTTGCACATATAACCTGCAACAGGAACAATCATTTGTTATATGAAAGTCTGAAAGCTACTTATGGAGAACTACGCACCAAAAATAGGGGTGTAATGGGGCTTCTGAAACTGTGCACAATGGAGAATTCAAATTGTAATTGTGAAAAAAGCACAAAGTGGCAAAAATCTCTGCCTCTTTCAGAAGTTTTACAACATGAAGATAAATGGAAAACTCAGAATTCTGGAGGCTCAATATAAATTTCAGCAACACAACTGCAACTACAGCTGTTGCAGAAGCCTCACAGCTCGTTTTCTTCCTCCCCCGAGTTCATTTCTCGGTGCAGTCCTGCAGTCTTCCGTGTGTCAAATTCTCAATAAAAATAACACTAACATGTTCTGACAGATCTGCTCATTTATTTCCCATCACATCTAATTTGGTAAAAGTGTTACTAATCTTCATTTTCCTTTACTAGGTTAAAAGGGATAAAAGTGCTCCAAACTCCATTCACTACTTATTTTTAAGTTTGTGTTCCATTTACCTGGCATCCTTCTTGATTAATCCACTTTTTTTGTACAAGATCTCTATTGGAGTCAGTGAGGCCAGCGTGATAGGCAAGTGCAGCCAGACCTTCCTTCTGCAGGATGGCAGCTGTTGTGTCACATTCATGCCGTGAAAGGCAATAAATTATCCCAGAGTCATCTGCAAATATATATATATAAAGTGCTTTCTTCCCTTCCACTTAACAAATGCTTTTATTCCAACAGGGAGAGGTTGCTAACAGCAACTCTTCCTAAAGAGAAATGGTTTTATCAACACTAGATGTTTTTGTTAATTTCTCCTCATTGATTCCATGCTTTTTTGCGGGGTGAGATCAGCAGAATTTCTGCTCAGATTTYCTACTATGCAAGATAAGGATTTAAAATTCATAAATGAAACCCTACATGAACAGAGATCTAGAGCAGTGCAGTAAATGATGCACTGGGTAACAGCCAAGGAGCTGCTGTGAAGGGAGCTTGTAGATGATCCAGCAGCCAGAGCTGTGTGATTCCAGGCAAGCCTGAGCAGCTGGGAGTTGCTGATGATGATGAAGAGGGTCCTCAGCTGAGCAGGCCAGCAGAATTAAGCGGTCAAAAAAACCTTAGGGATATTAGATGACATACATTCTGAAGACACAACACTAAAGGATCTGACAGTCTCCAGAAAGATTACTCAACAGCATTATCATAATCTTCTTTTTTCATCTTAACTTGACATTCTTACTTTAGGATGTTTTAAAATCTGATTCTCATTAATAGCAATATAATTCTGTCTCCAGTTTGTTCCCTTAAGTATATTAGTAGTTTCAAGAAGGCATAAAATTTGGTGGGTTGTTATAATATTATAAAAGCTTTTCCTGCTTGAATAAGTAGTTGATAAAAACACATAGGAGCACGCTAGGCTGCTCAGTACTCACGTGGGTGATGCTTTCTGATCCATTCTATGCAATCCAGCGCCACTTTTTTTGGCTTCTTGGGCAGTACATCGTATTTCAAGTTATGCCTGTTGAAGCTCATTGTAAACCTAAAATAGGATATTTCATTGATGCTGTTCACTTTTAAATGTAATCTCAATACCATTTTCATTACCTGTTACTTTCAATGTTAGCTAAAACAATGCACCTCCAGCTTATGGCGTTTAGCAATACTCTCATGAAAAGCAACCCAAAATACAACTTCCACTCTTGTTCAAGGTGTTACATTCTTCTAAAAAATTCCTCTGACCACATCAGGAAGAGTTTCACAAGCTTTTTTCCCCTCTCAAATTAATATTTTGCATTTGAGGCATGTTAAATTCCACATACATGTCCTTATTAAATCAGATACAACTATAAATATTTCAGATGAGTCTTTAGCACTTTTCTTTCTTTCCTAAATTTTCCATTCCAAACGTTGTTCAATTCATAAAAACCTGCTGAACAAAATTGCTGAACAACTTACACTTGTGGTTTTAGCATCTCAAGCTGATTCTGAATGTCTTTCTGCACTCTGGGATTAGCAGTGGCAGTGAGAGCCATCATAGGAACAGAGTGGAACTTCTTGCGGAGCATGTTGAGACGTTTGTAGTCTTTTCGAAAATCATGTCCCCACTAGATTAAAAACAAAAACGTCAATATCACAGAGTAAGACGCTTCAATTACATTTTTTGCCATCAAAAGTGTTTACCTGACTGACACAGTGAGCCTCATCAATGACAAAACGTGAGAGCAGCTTCCTGTCATAGAGGTTCTCCAGGGCAGACATCAGGCGGCCACTTGCACAAACCTAGGCACACATTTAAGAGCAGTATTAAGAGAAAAGGGCCCGTGACACCACAACCCACTAAGAGCCCAGACACCCCGATCTGTCCAGCAAAGTCCCTGCTGCCCCCTCRAGAAAGCCCGAACGCAGAGCGGGGACAGCACCCAGCCTCATTTTAACTGAGGACGAGGCTGGGGACGTGCTCGAGTGGCCTGAAGATTCCAGGGTCGGCTACACACAAATCTCAGCCGAGCAAACTCAAATGACTTTATGTGCCACAAAAGAGAGGGAAAGAGTGCTGAAGACAGCAATTAAAATCAGCACGCTTGCAGTCCCCTTTTGCAAAGCACTTGTGGAATATCTGTTAAAGGCAGCATATTATTAACTACAGTCTTTTGGCATTCACATATTCAAATTAAGCACAAACCTTCTCTGGGGTAACATACAGAAGTTTTATTACAGGATCTTTTTTGGACAACTGCATATATATTTTTGAAGCATCCGCATCTGTTCTATCACCAGTCAGGTATGTTGCAGCGATCTACTCAACACAAAAAAGAGCATTACATTTTAACATGTGCTAAATGTAGAAACATCTCCAACATATACTCTTACATCTAGTCATAGACCAGATAAAATCATATGCAYTTATTATCACCACCGAAGACCACGCAAAGAAACACTTAAAATGTTACAGGTAACATTTAAACTTCTAGCATACTGCACGCATCCCAGGTCTTTTTTCTATTGATAAAGCCAAGAAACTATAAACCAAATTCTATTCCCGTGTTCCCAATTTTATCAGCAGACCAGTTGCTGATGTAGGGGAGTCAATTTCCTTTGCRCTCTTTCTAGCAAAGAGAAGTGATGCTTGTTTACTGCTCCATGTGCTACAGGACTAGGATTGAATGCAGACAGCAAGCAGATTTTAGGGTAAGAGCCAAACTTGCAGGAAGCACAGCACCACRATAAATACCTCCAATCTCTTCTGACACAGTATTGCTGTTTCTATGTGAGCGCTGCTATTGAGGGTAACTCGGAGCAGACAGTTAACATTTAAAACTTAAAGTACAACTTACTATTCATGCTGAATAGTAACAAAGGAATTAGACACTGGCCTAAGACCAGGCCTGTGAATACAACACCCACAAGAACATAGACAGTTCTGCCTGTTGGTATCTCATGTCACTTGCAAGAGGGAGCTACAGCTCCACGGAGGGAATTCCTGCAGAACAYGCCAATTCCCAGGAGTCTCAGAGCGAGTTTAACTAACTTTTATGGCTACAACGTGTGCTATTTTTCCAGAAGCTAAGAATGAGGCAACTGTGTTTGAAAACTCCAACAACGAATACATATCAGAAAATTAGCAGTCAAACCATCAATAATTTCTAGATYGTCTAATTTAGATCTTCCTAGATAACTTTAATAGCCCTCTTTTTTTTAATACATATTTCATATTCAAGGGGCATAAGATTCAGCGTAAAATTTCAGTGATTAAATGAGCTGTTTGAACTTACATCTAAAGTCTTCAGCTTCTGAACTTGATCGATTATCAGTGACCTCAACGGAGAGATGACAATTGTGACTCCAGGAGAGACACAGGCTGGTAACTGGTAGCACAAGCTCTTACCTCCACCTGTACAGTTAGACAGAACACAACACACGTTAATATGCAAGGGAGAGAGGGCATGGATGGAGGGGCAGTGGAAATCAGGAGCCCTATTTATTAGTTTGCATTTCAAAGCACTTTCAGGAACATTAAAAACAGTTATTCATAAAAGCTTATCATGATATGTGCAGGCTACAGAAGAGTTATCAAGTGAAGCACTACGGAAGGCATGGATAAAATCCCCTTCATTCCCAATGCCGTGGTGCATACCAAACCCCACAAGTCTTGCACGCACCAAATTCAAGCAAGGCAACAAAACTACCTCCCCAACGGCACTGAGAGAGAAAAGGCTTCTTGTGGGCCGCACCAAGGGCGTTTCGGCCCCTTCTTGTGCAGCGAGCGCCAGCCTGGAGACCCCGCGGGTCCGCRGGTACCTACCGGTGGGCATCAAGATGAAACAATCCTCGCCCAGCAGCGCGGCATTGACGGCCTCCAGCTGGTTTGTCCGGAAATAGTGCAAGCCAAACTTCCTGTGAAATATATTCATCATTTCTTCAGAATGGGAAAACTTGACACCCCTGAAACGCTCTAGCGCTGGATTATTAACAAGTGGATCTAGGAGACAAAGAAAGTTCACTTGAAGTTACAATATCGAGTTGCAGTGCCCCCCTTACAGTACATCCCTCAAAGCTACCTCAAAGGGAGCTGGAACCTGGCTGTGTTTCCCTGTCCTGCTCCTGTGTCAGCCACAGGAAATGCTGACCTGTACCTGCCTACCAGCAGGACTAGGTTTGTTCCAACAGGAGTCCCTTCCTCAACATTTTGCATGAACAGGAAGAAAACATTGCACAGCATTGAACTAACAACTGCAGCACTATTGTTTGACTAAAAACACAGAAAACTAGTTCCCAAACCATCAGTTTCCTAGGRGCCTAGAGCCTCTGTGGCAAGCAAACATTGGAGAAGTTCGACGTATCTCAGACAAGGATCACGCCACAATGAAGACTTTGTCAAGAGGCACCAAGAGAAAGTTCCACACACACAAAACGCATTGGTGTTCCCTAGAAACAAATTAATTAGCTTTTTAAAATAAACTAATAAGGAGTATGACAGTAATCCTAGTTAGCATCATTTACCTGAAGAGCTTTTAGCTGCCATCAAGAAGCTTGATTTTGGAGCAATAGAGTTTGATACCAGAGCAGATCCTTTGGCTGCTGAAATGATCTTTGAGAGCAGCGACTTGGCAGGCGGCCCTTCCCTCACCGGCTGGTACAACGGTGCAGATGGCTTCTCAGGTGCCGAAACATTCACCGGATTCTCCCAACTCTCATCCAAATCATCGATATCAAAATGGTCGAGATCAAAGTCTGTATCCCTGGCATCCAAGTGGTGTCCCGCGCTGATGCCGGGTGCTTTGCCCTGCGCTTTCACAGCTGTGCTCGTGACGGGCCCCTCGGGCAGCCGCCAGTTCGTGGTGTTTCTCACCCCTGGTTTCTCACACCAGCTACTGCTGAAAGACGCCTCGGAGTCAAGGCTGCACCACGTCCTTTCTTTGATATTTGTCTTGCACGAGGAGAGTTCTGTAGTTCCAGGGCAGGTGATTTCCAAAACAGATGGCTTGGAAGCATAAGGGGTATCCAAGCTATCAGATATTCCATTTATTTTTGTAGAAAAGTTGCTTGAATTAACAGGCCCAGAAAACAYAGCTGGAGGCTTTGTGGATTTTGGCGAGTTTCCAACAGAACTGAAACTACGGTTAGTGCTAGAACAAACAGCAGCRTTGGGATCTGCAGCAGGGCCCTGTCCCACACGTGGCTTCCGTGTTCTAGTCAAAACGGTGTTTAGGCCACTTCTGTTCAGCTTGATAGAATCAGCTAATAACTTTCTCCTGAGAGGGAGAGAAAGGGAAGAAAACGGGAAAACAATTATGTCACAGTCATAAGCAACGATAAACCAAGTTTTACAGCATATATTCTTTTCGTCTTCAAAATATTAGCAATTGACCATTAGGTTCTATTTTCTGCAATTTTATTTTCAAAATTACTTAAAAAAAATATACAGAGAACAGAGAGTAATACCAGAATTTAACTGACCAAAAGAATTAAAAAATTAAAAATATATTAAATATACCCACACCAGATATTAAAATATAAGAAACTCTAATAGTAAAGAATTAATGCAGGCAAGGTGAAGTATGACAAAGTTTTTAAAGGCACAAAACTTAAAAAATTCAAAAGGCAAGAACTAAATGATGTTTTTATGTGCTCTCTAAAGACTACGGTTGACTACTGTAATAACAGGATACAGACTAAGTCAATTTTATCAGCTGTGTTTAGTAAAAGCCTATGATCCTGGTCTAATAAAGACACAAAACAAAATCCCAAATCTTAATACTTCCTCTGTGTTCTGTGTCATTAGACTATAAGAAGCTAAAGCAGCAGACTGCAATAGCAATATTCAAACTGAGAAGTGACATTATAGGGATATTAGGAGTAGAAATAATCACTATAATCAGTGATAATAAGCCTCAGAAGGAGTAATAAATTAATCCCTCAGGTTGCAAGGAATCAGGAGGAGCCCAGAATGCAGAACAGATTACACCTTGCTGCTGTTTCTTTGGAAGCATCTGGGGCTACCTTCCAGAAAGAAGATTCAGGACCATCCATGCCTCAGAATTGAGTTCTTCGTCTCTTAGCAGAATTCAAAAGCTCTTAACACCTTCAGCACATTTTGAGATTTTTCCCCCCCCTAAAACCTCACTTGGTGAGTAATTTTGAGCCTACGAGCAGTCTCTGTGCCTCCTTCCCAGCACAGCAGACACCTGCGCACAAAGCRTGGAAAGACCAAGGCTGGTTATTCACACCTACCTGAGGTCTCTCTGCTGAAGAAGTTCTTTTGCACAGGACAGATGCTGGAGCTCATGAATTGGAATGGCTTCTACCAGTTTACAGATATCATCCATGACGCTGTAAAGCTGCTGTTCCAAATACAAGCTTTTATCTGTAAAATGCAGGATATTTCAGCACACAGTACTCCCAGCTGTTATCAGAACACAGTAATAAGATGATATCAATCAAAAACTTGCTATGTGCACACTAAAGTATAGAAGAAATTAAACTTGTCTAACTTGATTTTCAGTATTATTACATGCATTCTTCTTAACACTACTTTATGCAATCATAGACACAAATTTTAAATCACATATACTTAAATAATCCCATAGAAGAGTACATCTTCAGCATAACTGAAAGAAAAGTCTGAATTTGCAGTTTTAAAACCATGTTTCAAGCCTACATTTAGTAACTTTTTCTTTTGCAAGTCCAATTCAGGTACATTTTAGTTCTGTATTTCCCAAAGTCAGTGCCCTGCAGAAATCAAATAGAAAACTAAAAAGCTCTAACTTAAGAGTGCAATTTCTTTGTGTCACAGGTGACTTCCGAAACTACTTGGCACGTCCACGCTTTTAAGGTCTGAAAGGAAAGTCTGCTACATATCTATGGTCCTGACAATCCAAGAATCTGAACCAGACAGCACATAATCAGACATAAAACTTCAAAATGTTTCAGCTACCTGCATCTTCCGTTCTAGTTTCAGCAACGGGCTGCTTCGTGGGACTCTTCTCAGGCTCAAAATAAGAAGCTGTTGATCTTCCACCAGTAGGAAAATCTTGGAAAATATTGCTAATATTAAAATAAAAACTCATTAACACAAGGGTATCTATAAATCAAAACATTTCCATAAGAGATGTTTATCTCTTAGAACAACAGCATTTAAGGTGTGTACACTAAATCAACAARCAAGTTTCTCAAAGGCAGTTAAAATCCAAGTAAGCAGCTGAGCAGTCACTCATTCCTGCATGCCAGCTTGTAGAGATTTGTTTCATTAAATATTTTTCCCCTGCTAATAAGAAAAAATTACTTTTGCTTCAGAAGAAACAGTTACCTTAAACATTAGCAGTTTGGAGGAAAAAAACTATTTTATAATAGAGTAACAGCAGCTGCTAACTGGAAAAACAACAGTTAAGACTACCAATTCAAACAGTAATTTTTCACCAAGCACTAGTTCTTATGTCTGTTTTGGTGGGGGGATTTCAATCATTCCAATTTTCAATCATTCCATCAGTTTTACCAGTGAACCTCCTTTTACCTAACGTTTTTTACGGAAGGTGAGAAGGAAGGCAGCTCCTCCTCCGGGGAGGGCGGGACGACGTCGCAGAAATCATCCTCTTCAAGCTCCAGGCTGGCGAGCAGCTCGTCGTCCTCGGCRTTGTCCAGCTCTGCTTGGCTGCTCCCCTCACCGCCGCTCAGCTTCTGGTTCCCATCAGTCTTGTTTGCAACAACAGCAGCTGAAAAAGCGTATTAGCATTGCTGTTAACACTGCGAACTCGTTCTGATATAAACAGAATGCAACTAAACAGTAGAAAAAATATACCCATATATTATTCTTATTCTATATTTCTATTCTTATTTTTAAAATCTGGAGGACGTGGTGTACTTACTGTTCCCCTTTTCTCTCCCTTCAAAAAAAAAAAAAAAAAACCCAAAACCCAAATAAGTAAGTTCTTAATAAGTAAATAAGTACCAAACCCTCTAAGGGTAAAATTTACATAATTACTTTTCCACATAAAAACAGGAAAAAAATAGCTTCTTTAAATTTCAAACACAGGCTAACACAAGTAACGATGAGAAGTTTCAAAAACTTAGCTTTTCTATTTTGCATGTTTTACCTGTTAAGTGAAAAACAGCTGCAAAGAGAGCACTCTGTTTTTGAACTTTTCAGTCATAGTCATTTTTAGTATTTCTTATGATTACAGGARCAAGATGATGTTAGGTCCCATTTACATGAATTATACGAATGCCCTTCTTCCCTGATGCAGATGCACTACATCCCTAGGGATTACCACTTCGGAACACCACTACTGCAGGCACCTCCGCACGGGGCAAGAGCTGTAGCACGAGCTGCTGCCCTTCAGCAGCCGTGTTCACTGGAACATCTGGATGCAAAAGCACAKCTCTCTCTGATTTCATTAAGAGATTTCATTTCTAAAAAATTAAGTCCTCAGTGAGGAAACACAAGTGTGTTTTTCCCTAGTTCAACACATTAAAGTAAGTCATTACCTGCACAAGCCTCTTCCTCATGTGAGATCACTTCTATGGGTAAATTCTCCAGGGGATCCTCCCCTGCAGTCCTGCCAGCGTCGCAGGGAACCTCATCCCCAAGACAAATCAAGGACCCCTGTGACGAGCACTGCTCATCCTCRAGAGATGCCCTGTTGGGCTCGCAGGTGCTCACGGGCGCCGTGCTGCTCGTCATGGTGCCGGGTGAGCTCGGTAGCTTGTTCACAGAGGAACACCATCTCTGGGGAGTCTTGCTGCTTGCCTGACCTTTGGGGGATAAAATCGGCCTGGAATACTTCTTATCAATCCCCGACAAATCAAAGTCATCTATGTCATCCCATTCATCTTCTACGGTAAGAACGGAGTCGGCCGGGCGCGGGGGGGCAGCGCGGTGCGTGCGGCCGGGCCGCCCTTCGCGCGCGGCGACGTCGTTCAGGACTCGCTGGGGACCCTCTGGGGAGCCCGCGGGTTCCTGGCTTGCGCAGGGCGGCTTCGGCTCCTGCCTGCTGGGCGCCGGGGGAAAGAAGTCCTGGATGTTTGTTTTCTTGTCCTTGGAGGCAGTGGGGCACGAGAAGGGTTTGGTCAGCGACGTGTTGACGTCCTTGTCCTTCAGCGCGGAGGCGCTYGGCACACTGAGGCAGTCTCCCGGCGGGGCACTGGCCAGCAAGGGTCTTTTCTTGAACGTGAACCCTCTGCAAAAGGGAGATCATTCTGTTAGTTTTTCGAGCATCTCTGGGCTCCTCGGAGACTTTTAAATGCTTTTAAATGCACTTTTCAGGGAAAACCCCAAGCCCTGTGACCAGGCGGGACAGCAGCACCACGGCAGGGAGGTCCACATGCTGCAGAGCGGGATCACTGGATAGCACAACAGCAATGGGACCGGACCAGCACAAGGACCAGCACTGCACCAGAACCGGAGCCAGGGAGAAGGACAGGACAAGGCCAGGCCCGGGACACAGGTTCGGGACCGGAGCTTGAGCATGGGACCAGAAGAGGGAGCACGAAGCAGATTGGACCAGGGAGCAGGAATGGACCAGGCCAGGGCTTGAGAGGGGGCACGAGTCAGGCCCAGAGCAAGAGACCAGGATGGGACTTAGGCCATGGACAGAACTAGAGCCAGGGACCAAAGCAGGGCGCAGGAAGGGAATGGGGCCAGGGCCTGGGACAGGCACCGGGCCGAGTCAAGACCAGGGACCAAGGCAAAGGCAAGGCCAAGGAGCAGAGCAGGACTAGGGTCTAAAAGAGGCTGGGAGCAGGGCCAGGACCCAAGAACCGGAGCGCGCCCAGGATAGAACCATGGCCGGGGCCGGAGCGGCCCCTCTTCCGCGAGAAGCGCGGCGCCTTCCCGGGGGCTGCCTCGGCGCCGGGGACACTCACGCGGGTCGGTGCCGCGCGGCGGGCGGCGCGTGCAGGCCGCCGCGCGCCGAGTGGAGCCGCAGCTGCTCGCGCAGGTTGTTCTGCGGCACGGCGGCCATGGCGCGGCCGGGGGCTGCGGGCCGCCGCCGCCCCGGCCGTCCCCGCCGCCGCCTCAGGCCCCACGCGCGCCGGCGCCGCCGCCGCCTTCACGTTCGCGCCAACCCGCCGCGCCTCCCCATTGGCTGGCGGCCGCGCCGCGCTTCCGCTTCCCGTGCCTCTCTTCACAAAATGGCGGCCGCCATCCGCGGCGCCGTGCAGTGGGCGCCGCCATTTCCCGAGGGCAGCGCCCTCGGAGCGGCGCCGGSAGCCCCTCCGACCCGCCCGCCTTAAACCAGGGCCGCCGTGGTGCYGCTGCACGGCCCAGGAACGAGGGCTGCGGGCCCGGGCGGCTGGTTCTTGTTTTACTGCAGGCACACCCAGCAGCGCACAGATCCCGCAGCAGCGGCTCTTTAACGGGATGGTGTACGGAACCGGAATTCCTCCCTCTCCTCCCGCCCCACGGCTGCTTCCCRAGGCGTGGGGTTTAAACCGAGTACCAGAGCTCGCACCCTAATGTGGATTTGTAAAGGAAAAATCACACGTTTCCTCAATGTTTTCATTAAAATACATCTTTCTCTTACAACAATGCTAAAACAGACTTATTGAAAATAGATAAAACTTGTAATTCACGGCACTTTTGTTAGCAGTTGTCGTGACGAAGGGATTGTATTTAGACAAATCAGGGGAAATCCCGGCAGGTTAGGTGTGGTGAGCGGGCAGGGCGGCCCCGGGAGCGGGGTGGATGCGGCTGCTGCAGGACCCTAACACGAAGCCCATGGGAAGTGCTCGGTGCCGCGTGGTCCGGGTGCTCCAGCGCCGCGCGCAGCCCCGTTCTCGTCCCCATCCCGCGGGATGCCCTTCCAGGGCATGGCGGGAGCRGGAGGCCGGGGCCGCTCCGGGCTGGGAACGCGAGCCAGGACACACGCCTGCCAAAGGAGCCTCGTGCAGGCGAAGGCACCTACCTGCGYGGAGCGAGTCCCAAAGGCTCTGCTCGTTCTTGTTCTCCCGCACTTTATTTCAGCATTTAGAAACGGACACGCAAGGGATTGCTCCCGTTCTCCTCGGCCGGCGCTCCCTCTTACACCTGAGGAATCGGGTAAGACGCGCAGGCGGCGAGCCCGCACATGTTCTTGCCTCGTTCGATGAGGAAGTACCTACACACGAAGCAAACGCGTCTGAGCTCGCGGGCCCCGCGCCTCGCACGGYGGAACCGCGGGCACGACGCGGTGCCGCCACCGTGTGCATGCACATCCTCTCACRCCAGCGCGAGGAACAACCGCACGGCAGCGGCCGGCCCCGCGCCACGCTCGCGAGTGATCAGCGAGGCGGAGCAGCTGGGGCGCTGCTCACCCCTCCATGCCCCAGAACGGGCCCCACGAGTTCTTGACGATCCAGTAAGGAGTCCCGTTCTCTTCTCCGTAGCCCACRGCCAGCACGGCATGGTTCACCTTGTCAGGGGTGTGCTCGCACTTGGGGCTGCAGACAGACGGAAAAACAATGCCCAATTATCACGTGAAAGCCAGCCTATAATTGACTATGCATTAGCGAGCATTTCTGACAAYACTCTGATTGTGTAATGGATAATCTCAACTTTTAATTGTGGCAACCAGAGAGATGCCAAGAAGAGCATACACTGCTCTGTTTTCTCCCTAAAAAGTAACTATGGTTGTATTTGAAGCTAGAGCACGAGCTCTAAATAATTCTGTTAATAGAATCTCTTAATAGTTGGTTCATGGAACCAAGTTGAGCATTAACTGATATGCTTTTATATMAATCTATCGGAGGTGCCAGTGAGCGCGGGCCTGCACTGCACCCCCTGCCAGGTTCACACTCACTTTGAGTAGACTCCTGTCCTGTAGTGCATGAAGTTGCTCGTCACCTCAAAGGCAAAGCTCACCGGGTTGTGCTTCCCCACGGCCTCGACCATGCCCGCCTCATCGTACTGCAAGGAGAGCACCCCAAGAGGGCCATGTATCTCCCCGTCCCGCTGGGAGCCGCACGCAGCGCCCAGGRAGTGGCCAGCACGGCGGGGACGGCTAATGCAGGCTTCTGCTTGCACGCAAGGACACAGCTGCGCCCCACAGACCTTGGAGGACCAAGATCTTTCTAAAGGGCAGAGAAAAGCGGGAGCGTTGCTGCTCCGCTGCTCRGCATGGGTAGAGCTGCACGCCGGCAGGACGGCGAGCGGCAGGAAGGGCAGCCCCTGCTCCTCGCAGCAGGAACGCRGGACGACAGTGCTGAGGGCAGCAGYGCCCACCCTGCAGCAACCTCCGGGCACCAAGCACCACGCGAGCGCATGAGAAAGGGGCAAAGCGCCGATGCTGCGGCTGTGCAAGAGCCGTCGGGCTGCAACCTCAGCCAAGGCTGAGCCCAGTGCCGTGCCAGCCCTGTGGCCAGGACCAGCCCCGCGGCCCGGGCACTCACCTGCGTGATGTTGACAACGTCCTTGACGAAAGCGACGGCCTCGTGGGGCTGGAACCTGCAGGTGCCGTTCTGCGCAAGGCCGGAGAGCGGCTGAGCGGCGCCCGCGCCCCGGCCCCGCGCCCCGCGGCCGGCACTACCTTGGCCCGGTACGGGTAGGCGTCCTCCGCCATGAGCCCCTTGTTGTAGCGGATGTACTCGAAGGCTTGGCTGGGCAGGCCCCTGCGGAGCGGCACGCGCGCTCAGCGGCCCGCGCCGCCCCGCAAACCCGCGCCCTTCCCCAGCTTCGCCCTCCTCCTAGCAGCCACGTGCCCAAGGGGAAGCCAGGGTGGCTGCCAAAGCACCACGGGACCGGCATGGTGCGTGAGGAGAGAAACTCATAGCGCTTCCCCTGCTTTTCTTGGGAGTGTTAAGGACTAACAGGGCCTACCCAGCGCTGCAGAATCAGAAGATACTGCAATAAAGTGACTATCGGGAAAAAAAAAGTGTAATAAACAAAAGGAACAACAGGGGCCAGGAAATCTTGGAGCTTTAGTGAAACGTAACAGCCTCTAGGAGGCTGAAATCAAAACTAACAGGACCAAACAGAAAATCCACAAAAACCTGTTTCCCCTGACACTCCTCAGCTGAGAGGAAATCAACATCCTTCCAGGCTCTGGAAGGATCGCGGCACGAGGTCCCGGGAAAGGCTGTCACTGGTGCAGCACCACCTGTTATGTCTGGATTTGCCCCCGGCGCTCCTTACCCGCTGCAGCCGTGGTTGTTGAAAGCCTGCGCGCAGTCGACCAGCTGCTGTTCCGCCTGCGGGAGAGGGCTGGTGAGTGCGGGGCGAGACCCGCACACCGAGCACGGGACGTGCACCACCACGGTGCTGCCTTTCCCTGCAAGCACAACCCCTTGCGGGATCTGGGATCCGGGATCCCGGCGCCAAGCGGATCCCGAGGGCAGGGCAGAGGAGRCTGCACTCGTCGCGCGAGCTCCCCGCGCGCCCACGCAAGCAGGCCGGGGCAAAGGGTCAACGTCTATTTTCAACACTTGGACCCAAACGGCAGCTGTTTGGGCAGGTCTCGCACACGGCCGCTCCCTTTCTGGCTCCTCGGGAACACGGGAGCTTGTGCAAGGCCGCCGGCATTGCGACACGCGCTTTTCAGGAATGGGCTCTGCAGCGGCTGCTCCCGCGGCGCCGACGTGTCCGGCGCGGGGGGACCCTTACCAGGGAGAGCAGCTTCCCGGTGGCTATGGCGATCGCCGACTCCAGGCAGCCCGTGGTGGAGAAGGTCCAGCAGCTCCCGCAGGGCCCCTGCATTGGAGTGCAGCGCTGCAGGGCAAGGTGCAGCGCAGCGAGCACCCAGCCGGCCAGCACGGGGCAGCCGCGACGGGCCCGCCGCGGCCCGGCCCTCGGCACCGCGCTCAGCGCCGCGTGCCCCATGCTCAGCACCACGTGTCCTGTGCTCAGCACCGTGAGCCCCATGCTCAGCACGACGTGTCCCATGCTCAGCGCCGCGTGCCCCATGCTCAGCACCACGTGTCCCGTGCTCAGCGCCACGTGCCCCATGCTCAGCACTGCGCTCAGCGCCGCGTGCCCCATGCTCAGTGCCCCACCAGGCTCCCATGCCGACTGCGAGCGCCCTACCTGGTTCTTCACGGGCGTCACGAAGTTCCCCTTCTTCCTCCAGTCGATGGTGTCGGGGCTGGGGCCGGAGCTGCGCAGGAAGTTGCCCTTGGTGGCTGAGCAGTTCTGCGGCACGGAGAGGGCTGCGATGCGACAAGGGGAAGGGACCGACCGGCCTGGCGGGGCCGCAGGGCAGCCCCGAGTAGCCCCAGCCCCGCAGAGCCCCAGGACGGCACTAAGAACCTGTGCCAACCCGTGCTCCCGCAGCCCAGCACGCTCAGGATCGGGCTGCAGCCCCTGCAGTCCATGGGCACGCAGCCCCCTGCGCAGGGGGGCCAGGGATTCACCTGCGGTTCGCTCCACAGGTACTTCTTCTTAAACTCTGCAAACGTCATATCTGAAAATTGGTTCAGACTCACTAAAAAAGGAACGGAAAAAAATGGGGTTTACCCACTGAGGAACTGAGTCAAAACAAAACCAAAACCCCAGAGTGCAAACCGAAAAGCCCCATCTCCTACTCTGAAAGGTGTGATTGGCCGCGTTGTGCTCATCGATCTGCCGCTTGTTGTCGGCGAAGATCTGCAGCCGGCGGTGATACTCGCCGGGGCCGTAGGCCCTGTTGTGCTGGCGGCGGAGGCGGCGGTGAGGGGCAGGGGGCCGAGCGGCGCTCCCCAAGGAGCCCGAGGCGCCCGGGTGCAGGGCAGGGTGCGAGKCCCGAGCTCGTTCGAGGGCCGCATGCACGCATCCCAGCACCGGCGCTGCCCGTGTCCGTCCCGGGGACCCGGGCTGTGACCCGAGCGTAACCCGAGCGCAGCGCGCGCACGAGCCCGTGCAAACACCCGTGGGGCCGGGCAGCGCAGCCGGGGACGGGAGGCGCCGCGGGCAGGGCGCGCGGGAGAACGTCCCCGTCCCGGCCCGTGCCACCGCGCAGCCTCACCTGCCGCATCCAGGCCTTGAAGAGCAGCTCCGCTGCGGGGAGACACGCGCTGTGAGCGGCGCCGGCCGGCCGGGCCGCCGCGGGCCGAGCCGGGCCGGGCCGGGCCACGCACCCCCCGTACCTTGGGC